TAAACCCTATATCCATTCTTTACCACTATAACCCTGGTAGTACCTCTAAAACTAACCACAGCACAATCCCTCACACTAACTCTCGGTGTCTACGCCGTATAACATTAACCAGGCTAACCCTTAACTCAAATGCATAGCTTATGCTGCAGAAAGAAATCCCATAATAATCTAACCTCTGGGTCTGCCTGTTATCCCGGGTTCTGGGAAAACACAACCACGTGTTTCCCAGCAGCAGCTATTGCTTTGCGCGGTTCTTCTCAGTTGTCGGAAGGACAAGTGGGGGGCCGCTCTTCCTGTGCTCGTGCAATTATTACTGGGTTCTCACACGGACGGCCAGGACGATCGATATCGCACCCAGCCTTCGGGAACACAGGGCCCGCCAGGCACACGCCATGTCTTCGTATCGCCCGCGCGGCTGGCCGCGTGTTTACATCGGACGCAGGCCCAGCTTGTGATCTCAAAGAGCCAATTGTTTGACTTCTGCTGCGTCCGTAGAGTTAGCCAACTTTTCTGTGTGTGGGGATTCAAGCCAAGCATGCCATTGTCTGCGACGTGGATGTCTAAAGGCCCTCTGTGATGTTGTTCGTCAAAAGTACCTAGGTCCTCTTTATGTTGACATCAGTGGGAGGTATCACCTGGTTGGCACGGACCCTGCTTTGAGGAATAAAATGGGGACCTCCTCATCCGTGACCAGGTTCCCTCTCTTCAGAGCCCAGCTCATCGGCCCCCCTTTGAGCCATAGGCCGCCGGTGCAGTTACACCATCTCCGCACTCGATGGCTACGCCACCAGTTGAAATCATAATGCGTAGTGCAAATGGTGTAATTCTTTTTCCAGTGATTGTATTATCATGCATTCACTCGCTGGCTTGACCAGCTTCTTGCAGAGCCTTTGGAAGCATCTAGCGACCATGCCTGTGTGGTCAGGAAGGCTGCTACAACTACTACAATATATGGGCTTGCATATATCTTTTAGTTCTCAAGTTCGAAGCTAAATGATTGATGAACATGGGTTCAGCTGTCTACTGGGTTTTCAGGTTGTACCGTGTGTTGTTGGCCATGATGTCCGTACAGGACGACATGATGTCTGTTCAACACCTCATGATGTCCGTACAACACCTCATCATGTCCATGCAACACCTCATGTTGTGTGCACAGCACGCGATGTAACCCAGAAACACGTTGAAGAGATGTACAACACAACACTTCCACGAAAACCTACTCATTATGTGGGAGAGTCCTTGTGGTGGGTGATTGGGATATTAAGATAATTCAGAGAACTGCAGTGGGTGTCTCTAAGGGGCCATCCATAAATGACGTCTCGCACCTGGGGGGGGGGGGGTCAGACATTTGTGACGATGTGTGACGAGGGGGGGGGGGGTGAGAAATGTGACGTCACATCAAAATGCGCAACTTTAAATAAATATAGACAGCACGTTCTACTTAATGAAATAGACTTTTTGATAAATGTTTTCTCCTATAACATCAGAGTGTAGCGGCACATTAAATACGCACTACAATGGCAATAGTTAATAGTTTAAAGCGATTTGAAGCATGTTTTATATATATTTGGGAGGGGGGGAGGGGGGCAGAGCTTTGTGACGTCCTTTTTGAGGGGGGGTCTGACTTTTTGTGACGCCGTGTGACGTCGGGGTGGGGGGTCAAAAATCGTCCAAAATCGCGTGACGTCATTTATGGACGGCCCCTAACTCGTTATCGGAAACAATCACTCCATTAAATGTTTTTGTCTGCTCAGGATACATTTATTCTCTCATGCTTTCGGTTCCCTGCATTCGCTTCTTTTGATCTTAATTTTCCCTGCAGCAATTGGACAAGAATTTATTTATTTTAATCGGTGATGCCCTATGGAAAAAAAACTTGCATTTTCGGGAAGATTTGAATTTGTTTGTCGTTGCTTGTCCTTGTAGTTTGTTAATTTCATAAGTTATAAGCAGAATGACATCTTAGAGTAAATCAATAGTTGCGTGATAAAGGCCTTTTAAGTGCTGAAGCCGTGTTGATTGCACACAATTTCTATACTCTCATCAGCTATAACATGAGAATCATCCTGAGATACTTGCTATTGTGGGCTCAGTTAGCAGTCATGTTTAAATGCGTGGTGGTATGTGTGTAATACCCACATAATTCTTCCATGCAGGATTTATGAACTGAAATATATAAACTAGTTATTATTTACAGCCCTTTATCAATCCACTGCTGGATGAAGGCCTCCCCAATGCCGTGTTGGTCATGGGGAGTTTATCGACCACACTTCACCGCGCTAGCCAGTGTGCGTCGGTGAATTCGGGGGGCTCGGGACCGGTTCAAATATCAATCGCCACCAAGGTTGGCCATTCCTGGGAAGCAAATTCAGGTCACCCCTGTTCGTGACCAGTGCTCTCACCAGCATCACGCAAACTTCACTTATATGTCTTTTATTTGACTTATGCCGTCCGGACGATGACCACTAGCCCGTGTTAAAGCTCTTGAAGCTCTAATCATTTCGAAACCACTTCAAAATAATTATAAGAATTCCCAAGTGTAGGTCCGAAACACACGCCGACGATAAGAGCGGTTAAAAATAGAGCCCCAATGCTCTTGACACACAGGCTGGACTGCATTGCAGTATGAAGCGGACACACGTGGATATACAGTACTCAAGGTCCTGTGAATGTTTGCTGTAGAGAAACTGTAGAATGTCCTCATATCAGGTTCTCATTGAGTCAGTTTTAACTGAAACTAGCTCCTCTTTGATGTAGGTCTCTGGGGACGACCGTTTTCCCCTCACATGAAAAGTAACTCGCGAATTGAATTGGCCAAACACCTCCAAAACTAGGTTTAATCATCAGTGGCCGCCCAGATTAAAACCCCGGTTTTTTATCATTATTGGTGCCCACTGGAGTATTTAATGATCCACATTCGCGATTTTACGACAGACACGGGCACCCATGTAAATGGGCACCTACTGCGAAGACTTTGGAAGATGCGTGACTCAGCCACTCCACCTTCCTCTGAGAAGAGCTCATCTCCCACAAAGCACTTCTCCACACGATACTGGCACCTAAAACCCCCATATGAAAATTGTATATTTTTATTAATTTAATGTTTTTTCTTACATGTACTTCTTACATGTGAGCAGTGCTGGCTCATTGCCTCCTATCCACTTTAAATAAAGTCAATTATTCCTCGCTTGTTAAAGTATCTTCCACTTTCAAGGTCCGTGTCAAGACATTACGGCCAGTGCCGATGATTTCGCCACATCTCAGCATAACTTCCTTTTGCAAGGTCAAATAGTCATTGCAGATTGACACATTCTTCAAGGGCCGCTCTTAAGAATCTCATCACCATCATTTTCCTTTAGATCTTTCCCTTGGTTGCCGATCTCTGGGTGCCACTCCCCAAAGCCTGCCTCATTGATCTGCCCTCCTCCATCCTGCACACGTGTCCCACCCATCGCAACCTCCTCATCCTGATTGAATCTGCAACGCTTCATTGCCAAGTTCCATTCCGAACTTCCAAAGGTTAGAACTTAACAGAGCAACATCGGTATCATGAAAGAGTTGTAACCTTTCTATTTTGAAAGTTATTGCGCGCGGCTCGTATTGTACCTGTCAATAAGCAGACGTAACAGCCATGAATCGCAAGCAGGCGGTGACATCATCCACAGCACTTGTACCACGCTAGTTATTCTAGTCACTTCGCAGCTCAGTCATACAATAAAGGAGGTCATGGGACAGACGCAGATATAAATGAAGGGTTAATAGACCAAGGTGAATGCCAGATGCACCACCTGCGCTCCCCGTCATGCCAGCTTGCTTTTAGCCAGCCAGCGCTCTGCTCATTGATAGTGTCGCCCCAGTGGCTGGTGTTGATGCTGCAGGGCGACTGTCCTTACTTTGTTATGTATTGTGGAGACTGGCAAAATAACCCCCCATCTCTTCACTGGGTTGGATGGTGGCATCACTACCACCACACAATGGTGGATAGCAGTTGTTTTTGTTGTGGGGAACATTGGCGCAGTCGTTCGCACTCTGTGCTGTGAACCCAACGAACTGCACGGCTGGTTACGTACGGTGCGACGGAAGTTCAACATACATACGACCGAATTCAATTCCAACCCTTGGCTAACAGTGGTGGATAGTGTCTGAACTGGTTCTGGGGCTATCCTAAGTAAACTCGGTCTTGAATGAGGACTGTGTCATTATGCTTGCTTAAGCAAATGCTGCTGGATAATATTGGTCTGGAAAGCAAAGAAACTGGTAGCCGAAAACAATTTGTTACTTTTATGTGGAGATACAGAACAATGTTCTGCTTATTTATGCTGTTCAATGAGTACCTCGTGCGGCTTGTTAACATCTGCCCTGGGTAGACTAAATAAGCAGACCAGGTCTCCACATACAGTACTAGTACTCATTTCGACATTTAATCCAAAAAATGCATCCTACACAATCCACCAGACAGACTCTGGACAAGTTTCAACATACAGTGTGTCATCAGCATTCGGGTAAATAAAGAAAGTATCTGGGCATAATACTAACCACACCACTTTCCTCGTGGGCTGCACCGGCTTTAATAGGCGCTCGATAACATCGCCTGTCCCAACAATCTGGCGAAAGGGGAGATCTTTGCCTCCGTGTGTGTATAGTTGAGTGTGGGTACTTACGTAATGACGTCCTTGTATCCATCGCTTGAATGTGCGAGCATGACAGCCGGCGCTCGTATAATGTCCAAATGCCATGTGTGTGCGCGTGTCTGCGTGATGATTATCTGAACCGGTCCTGGGCCTTCCCAAGGTCGACTCATCCTCAAATGCGTACCTGGTGTGGTGTGTAAACATCGCCACTCGGTGGATAAAGGCCGCCGGGTGTGGTGGTGGCCACCCACTCCTTCGTGTGCCGTTCCGGCCTTTCTAAGTGGTCGCTAACAGCAATTGCCCAAACATTTTGTTGAGAGCTAAACGGGGGATCTTTGTCTTTCGTTGTGTGTGTGCCAATCGCTGCAGGCGGACAGCAGCGCGAGCTTCCTTCGCGCCGCGAGGGCTGGGAATCTGGACAAGGTCCTCGACTGTCTGAACAATGGCATCGACATCAACACCAGCAACCAGGTGATGCTGAGACTTCACTTCGTCTACTCTTAGCCAGGTTAAGATGTCATGTTGGCTGAGCAAGAGGTCAAACCGGTGAGATGTCAACCAGATGAGGTGTAGAATTAGTCAGATGTCAACCAGATGAAGTGTAGAATTAGTCAGACATCAACCAGATGAAGTGTAGAATTAGTCAGATGACAACCAGATGAGGATGTTGACCACCTGAGAACTCATTAAGTGGTGCACTGAGCCAGGTAAGGAATTGATCAGGTGGGATATTAAATGGATGGTATGTCGACCAGATGAGATGTCTACCAAGTAAGATGCTCAACAGGTAAAATCAGATGAGACATTGACCAGGGGAAACATTGAATACCACTAAATAACCCTGCATATACCCTATCTCACCAGGGATCAGAAGCTGAGCAGGAAAAACCTGGCTAATACTTACATTAGAGCCTTCCTGGGATGTGCAGGCAGTTTAGGATTGAGCTGTGAGATGGCCAGTAGATTTCAGTACAGCAATGAATCATTTAATGCCTGCGGAGTTTTGAGTGTTCCCCCTATTGAAGTTGTGGGTTTTCCCTCGGGTACCCTGGTTCCCTCCCACATGCTAAGCAATCCTTAATGGCATAGCGAAACATCATAAATACAACATTGTCCTTTAAAAGAGCCTTGAGACTCCACGAGGCTTCCCTGGGTAAACGCAGGTAATTGTTATTCGTAGTATTAAATGTGGACCGAGAGGAATTGACCAGGTGAGATGCTAACGAAGTGAGACCCCAACGAGGTGAGATGTTAATGAAGCAGAAGTTGACCTCGACGACAGCAGAAGAACCTCCTTCCTTAAACCATACGTCTATGCCACCTCCTTTGCCCCACTGTCAATTCTGAGCCGGACGAGCCATCAGTTCGATGGACAATCAAAAACGATTCGCTCCTGCGGGGACGACTGTGCCGTCCTTGCACCAGGCAACGATTAGACATTGAAGGAAGCGCTCTGTTCATCGGGCAATGATTGCCGACAGCAAAGAGAGCGGACACGAGGAGCAAACAGCAAGCAGCAGCAGCACCTCCGATTAGCACAGTTGGCTCCATACAGTGTGAAAGAAGTTCATACATACAGTAACTCGCCTGGTATGGAGGAAGTCGTGGGTCCGATCCCTATGGTTGCGTGGATTTTTCTCCGGGTCTTCCAGTTTTTCCCTCCACATTTAGAAACATGCATTTTTATAATTTCGCTGCTATAAATGTCCACGTGATAAGCCATTTCGTTAAGCTATCATTTGTGGCCAGGTAGATTCTAAAAAATAGCTATATACAGTGAGGGAAAAAAGTATTTGATCCCCTGCTGACTTTGTACGTTTGCCCACTGACAAAGAAATGATCAGTCTATAATTTTAATGGTAGGTTTATTTGAACAGTGAGAGACAGAATAACAACAACAAAATCCAGAAAAAGCATGTCAATAATGTTATAAATTGATTTTCATTTTAATGAGGGATATAAGTATTTGACCCCCTCTCAATCAGAAAGACTTATGGTTCCCAGGTGTCTTTTATACAGGTAACGAGCTGAGATTAGGAGCACACTCTTAAAGGGAGTGCTCCTAATCTCAGCTTGTTACCTGTATAAAAGACGCCTGTCCACAGAAGCAATCAATCAGATTCCAAACTCTCCACCATGGCAAAGACCAAAGAGCTCTCCAAGGATGTCAGGGACAAGATTGTAGACCTACACAAGGCTGGAATGGGCTACAAGACCATTGCCAAGCAGCTTGGTGAGAAGGTGACAACAGTTGGTGTGATTATTCGCAAATGGAAGAAACACAAAAGAACTGTCAATCTCCCTCGGCCTGGGGCTCCATGCAAGATCTCACCTTGTGGAGTTGCAATGATCATGAGAACGGTGAGGAATCAGCCCAGAACTACACGGGAGGATCTTGTCAATGATCTCAAGGCAGCTGGGACCATAGTTACCAAGAAAACAATTGGTAACACATTACGCCGTGAAGGACTGAAATCCTGCAGCGCCCGCAAGGTCCCCCTGCTCAAGAAAGAACATATACATGCCCGTCTGAAGTTTGCCAATGAACATCTGAATGATTCAGAGGACAACTGGGTGAAAGTGTTGTGGTCAGATGAGACCAAAATGGAGCTCTTTGGCATCAACTCAACTCGCCGTGGTTGGAGGAGGAAGAATGCTGCCTATGACCCCAAGAACACCATCCCCACCGTCAAACATGGAGGTGGAAACATTATGCTTTGGGGGTGTTTTTCTGCTAAGGGGACAGGACAACTTCACCACATCAAAGGGACGATGGACGGGGCCATGTACCGTCAAATCTTGGGTGAGAACCTCCTTCCCTCAGCCAGGGCATTGAAAATGGGTCGTGGATGGGTATTCCAGCATGACAATGACCCAAAACACACGGCCAAGGCAACAAAGGAGTGGCTCAAGAAGAAGCACATTAAGGTCCTGGAGTGGCCTAGCCAGTTTCCAGACCTTAATCCCATAGAAAATCTGTGGAGGGAGCTGAAGGTTCGAGTTGCCAAACGTCAGCCTCGAAACCTTAATGACTTGGAGAAGATCTGCAAAGAGGAGTGGGACAAAATCCCTCCTGAGATGTGTGCAAACCTGGTGGCCAACTACAAGAAACGTCTGACCTCAGTGATTGCCAACAAGGGTTTTGCCACCAAGTACTAAGTCATGTTTTGCAGAGGGGTCAAATACTTATTTCCCTCATTAAAATGCAAATCAATTTATAACATTTCTGACATGGGTTTTTCTGGATTTTGTTGTTATTCTGTCTCACTGTTCAAATAAACCTACCATTAAAATTATAGACTGATCATTTCTTTGTCAGTGGGCAAACGTACAAAATCAGCAGGGGATCAAATACTTTTTTCCCTCACTGTAGCTCAGTGGGCTACACTTTGTAAAATAAAAAAATAATATAATTGCTCGCGACCACTACTGCACTCATCAGGCACGCGCCGATAATGCCAGAGGCACTCCTTTCCAACTGTCAGCGGTGGAGCGAGCGGCTAATTCTGTGGCCGTATCAACCAAGAAATCCACGGCCGTCTGCATCACAGTGGACAATAAAGATCCCGTCAGCTTTCGCGACCAATATTATCTATTAGACGTTTTTTGGGTTAGATGGCATAAATATAAATATTGTGGGTTTACTCTCCAACACACCGGTGTGCTCAACTAGTAACTAATTGGCACGTTTTGTTTATGTGACAAGCCTTACTGGTTGGCTGTCGGGTGGATGCAGGTTTAACGACACATTTATATTTATGCGATCTTATCCAAAAACCTATTTTATGGATTAAAGATCCCGTGAGAGTATATTGAATGATGGCAACAGGGCTCCCTACAGGCGAACTATAATTGTCTGTGAAACACAGCACCCTCATGATTGCCCTGTGTTGTACAAATGATGCGAATACCACATGTACTGGATTATTATAATTGTTATGAATTTTTAATTAGGCCCTGGAATGCCTTGCGGGCAGGACAGTGTAGGTGAGGTCACCTTGTGCTCATTACGACCGTGGTTTGACGGGGTGTTTGTCTTTGTGTCAGTGTGTTGTGATTTAGTTGCGTCCAACATGTTGATTCTAAACAAAAATTATAACTGTACATTTATATTGTACTCTCTTTCTGTTTGTGTTTTTGTCCATCTATTTATCCGGTCATCTGTCTGCCTACTGGCCTCGCTATCTGTATTGCCTGCCCGCCCACCTACTTAGCTTCCTACGTATTTTTCTGCCTGCTTGCTTTCCTGCCTGTCATGTCTGTCACCCTCTCTGTCCTTCTGTCTGTGCATCCACTTTTCCACCCACCATGTGTCAATGTGGTTGGTTATGTCTGCTTGGACTGTATTTGTGTATATCTGCTTACCTGTCTGCTTAACTTGCTGCCTCTTGGTCCATCCATTCTTTTGTTCATCCATCCATCCATTCGCCTTCCGTGCCTCTCTGCCTGTTCATCCATCTGTCTGTTTCTCTGTGTGTGTATGTGTGTCCATTCATCCTTCCATCCACCTATCCATCCATTCATCTGCCTGTATGCGTGTCCATTAATCTCCATCCATCTGTCTGTTTCTGTGTCCATCCATCGTTCCACTGCAGAATGGTCTCAATGCGCTGCACCTGGCATCTAAGGAAGGCCACGTGGGCGTGGTCAAGGAGCTGCTGTCTCGAGGGGCCAGCGTCGACGCAGCTACCAAGGTCCAAAACCCGGCACAACTAAATTACATTCCTTAAATTAAGAAAATGTAATCATGATTCTCTCGTCTTAAGTCGGTTATGTTTTGCGGTTACCGGTGTAATGAGGGTCGGCGTCCGCTCGGCGTGAACTCCGCATTTGTTGTGACCCCTCGGCGGTGCAGAAGGGGAACACGGCACTGCATATCGCGTCGCTCGCTGGACAGGCGAGCACCGTGGCCATCCTCGTGCTGCACAGCGCCGACGTGAATGCGCAGTCGCAGGTGAGCTCGCACTTACGCGTGCACGTACGCACACACGCGCGCGCACGTACACGCGCACATGTACACACGCGCGCACGCTCGCGACAAACGCACGTGCAGTACAGCAACAGCAACCGGCCACCGTTCGTCACTTAGTGGTGACAGTGACGTCGCCGCAGCGTTCGTACCAGGCTAGGTGCACTTTGGTGTAGTGGGAAAGGATCCAAAGAGGCTCGCTGGCAGGAGCTCACAGACACAGGTGTTATGGGCTAGATGGCTGGCAGATGTGGGCAGCTCGTGCTGCCCACTATGCCACCTTGCTGCGTTGTAGCCCTCTGTTCATTGTTGTGAGCGCCCCCCGTTTTTGCCAGAGCGTGATGGTCTGAAGTTGTCCACTCGCATCCTTCATGAGCTTCCTCCACACACACACACATGAACACTTACTGTACTGTGTGTGTGTATGCTTGCACTCATGCAGATGTCCATGCACCACATGCGTACACACACATACAAATTCGCTACACACTGGACATGTGCAAATGCATCAGTTGATCAATTAATCAATTAAAATTGATTATTAAGCTCGTGATATATGCATCAAATCACACGGTTTATAAACGGTTATCTACAACTTGTGCAAATTACATGTGCTTGCCTGTAATCCTCCAGCACTGTGGAGGTGGTGCCGGTTGGAGGATCACATGGATGTTGTGAAATTCCCTTCCTGGGGCATCGAGGTGCCGTAACCTGGCCCACCAGAAGAAATTACAACAAATGTGGACTGCCAATTTTATAAACGTTTACTTAATTGGCCGTTTGGCGTCCTCTGGTCTAACATCGTTTGAGATGAGGCTCAAAAGAAAGCTGCCTCTGGTGTGGAGCAATCGGTTTCAAAGACTGCATATATTATCAGAGTGTTTTTTGTTTGCATTCTGACCACAAGTATTGTGGTTAATGCAGACATGATTCCTTGTAAAAGGTTTCAGTTTGGTGTTTTAACAACTTAACAACCGTGTTTTGTTGCCAGAAAAAAGGTGGAAAAACCTTTTTATCATATTTTGGTACTGGCAAAGGAGGTCACATGATGCAGATGACAGATTTGTTTTAATTCGGTGGTGGTGAAGATCATGGCATATCCCAGGGACAGCAATATGAACCAAGCATTGGTGGAAAGGCTAGACTGCGGACCATAACGGAAAGATGAAAACGAAAGCATTTGTAACGTGTCGCTATAGGCGTGATGAGGTGAATCTGTACACACTGCTGATGTTTGATGAAGTGGGATGAATGTAAAAAAGGAAAAGAGGTAGATGGAGACCATTATAGACGGGGTAGTATTGTAAATGTTATGAGGATAGCGTACCAATGTTATAGCAAAGCCCCAAATTGCAAAGGGTTTTGATTATCGGGGTGACACAATTTTCGTAACGAGTAGAACAGAGAAAGATGTTCACACACACCCAGTCACGACAATAGATCGCATGACAAATATTGGCGATATACCATCATATATATGGTACAGTATACAGAAACTAACATGTTTGGGAGGGACACAAAGAACCCCCTTATAGACATAACAAGCTCTAGGAGCTGTTAGCAAGCACCGATTAAGTCCAGCACGGCGCTTGAGGGGGTGGGTGGCCAGTACCACGCTTGGCTGCCTTTGTCTCCCTGTTGGTGATGTTGACACACACCACCAAGTGCATATTTGATGCTGAGTCGACCCAGGGGAGGCCCAGAACCGGTTCAGATAATCGTCGCAGCTAGAGGTGTGACAGGAAAAATATGGGCAAGCTGGGGGTGATTTGGTAAAGTTGATTGATGAAAATAGGAGCAGAGGTAGTCAGAGACTAAGACGGACAAATAATATCGTAAATCTAACCAGACAGATAGTATACCAAGGTCATGAATGTTCAGCAATAAGTGGTAATGGCTAACAGAGAGAAGAGCGTGTGAGCGAATGAGTGAATGGATGGGTAAGTGAGAAAATGAGCGAGTGTGAGTGAGCGAACGAGTGGATGAAGAAGCAGTGAGCGTGTGAGTACGTGTGCGCGTGTACTGCGCAACGCCTGTAGAAGCCGTTGGAGTTTGTAGACACAATGTTTAGTATCAGTGGCGTCTGCCTGGTTATGGGAGCTTGCAGAGGTGGAGGAAGGAGCTGGGAGGGGGGGGGAATGTCGATTATTGATGAACGTGTTGAGTTTGTGTTGTGTTTTCGTGCTTGTACACCATTGCCAATGCTGCAGCATCAGCAGCAAACATCACTGAATAATTTGATGAGCAGAAAAAAATATTATTTAGGGTTTTCTTTTTATCACGAGTCGGGCCCCGCCATAACGGCCCACCAGTCCTACCGACACCACCCTCGCCACACCAGTCCTACAGACACCACCCTCGCCCCACCAGCCCTACCGACACCACCCTCGCCCCACCAGTCCTACCGACACCACCCTCGCCCCACCAGTCCTACCGACACCACCCTCGCCCCACCAGTCCGACCGACACCACCCTCGCCACACCAGTCCGACCGACACCACCCTCGCCACACCAGTCCTACCGACACCACCCTCGCCCCACCAGTCCTACCGACACCACCCTCGCCACACCAGTCCTACAGACACCACCCTCGCCCCACCAGTCCTACCGACACCACCCTCGCCCCACCAGTCCTACCGACACCACCCTCGCCCCACCAGTCCTACCGACACCACCCTCGCCCCACCAGCCCTACCGACACCACCCTCGCCACACCAGTCCTACCGACACCACCCTCGCCACACCAGTCCTACCGACACCACCCTCGCCACACCAGTCCTACCGACACCACCCTCGCCACACCAGTCCTACCGACACCACCCTCGCCACACCAGTCCTACCGACACTATACTAGCCCCTATCGGCCCCACCAGTCGTAACGGCCAAACCGGCCACGGGACGCTATAGAGGAGCCCCGAATCGTGGAGTCTATTGTATTCGTTATCGAGGTCACAAATCTTCGGCAGCGAGTCAGACGTCACGCACAGAGAGATGAGCGCGCGTACGCATCTTGCACGGACCTACACGCACGCGTCTCCCGCGCGCCTGCATTGGACAAGGCTCACCGCCTCTCGAGCAGATCCCATACATACGCAGCGGCCACTCGCTCCACTTGCCGCAGAGCCCACGCCCCAGTGTTGATCTGCTCCACAATCCCTCCCCGCCACCCCCACCCCCCGCCACCCCCACCCCTCTCTCATTCCCCACCCCGGCCTTGAAAGTGGCCGAGCGCTCGCTGCTCCATCTGTCGAGCATTTTCCACCAACCCCGCCGCGCGGATGTGGTTTTGCGGCTTTTATTGTGGCGCGCGCATGTCAGGGTAGTGGATGGTGAGCGCAAAGGGGGAGCGGTGGTGTAGCGGTTAGCGCACTGCGCTACGAACCCAGCGGCCCGAGTTCGCTTCCCGCTCACGGCCAACACCCGGTGACGATTATTTTAACCCGTCCTGGGCATCCCCTCGGTCGACTCAGCCTCAAATGAGTACTTGGTGCGGTGTGTAAACATCGCCACTGGGGAGACAAAGGCGGTCGGGCGTGGTGCTGGCTACACCACCCCCTCGTGTGCCGTTCGGACCTTCACAGGTGCTACTCGCAAACAGCACTTGCCCCAACAGTCTGTTAAAGGCTGTACGGGGGATCTTTGTTTTTGCTTGTTGGTGGGCGTAAATGTTTTTCTGCGGCGGCGAATCCTTTTGCGCCTCTGGCTCGGCGTGCCGCGCTCATATTGCAATGAAACGACGACTCACGCGGTCGATCAGTCAGCCCATTCGTCTTGTCAGTGATGTTTGTTCAGAACCAGGTGGGTTGCTGTATTTGCAAAGGAAACCCCTGGGCTTGTTACAGATAATAAAAGGCAAAAGGTGCAGACCCTGCAACTGCTTAGCCGCACAATGAGGGAGAAGTATCGAAAGTCACTTTAGAGCGTTGGGCTGGCCTACTCTTCCATGCTGAACAGATGTCTTGAATGGGTGGAAAACCCCACACTTTAGCCCAAGACAAAGATCCCCCGTTTAGCCTTAACAGACTGTCGGAGCAAGTGCTGTTAGCGAGCACCTATGAAGGCCGGAACAGCACACGAGGGGGTAGGTGGCCAGCACCACGCGGCCGCCTTTTTGCCTCTCCAGTAGCGATGTTTATACACTGGCACCAGGTACTAATGTGAGGCTGAGTCGACCTAGGGGAGGCCCAGTACCGGTTCAGATAATCGTCACTGGTGTTGGCCAGTGACGATTACACCATCGCTCCCCACACTTTACCCCACCAACACCGCGACCTACATACCGATCGACTAACTAAATCGATGGCTCAATTGATCAGTTATTAAATCAACGAGTCGTTCATTCAGTGATGTATATATCATAGGCAGTTGAGAGCCCATTGGGGTGAAAGTATGTTGTTTGCATGGGAAACCTGTGGTGATGTTTTACAGAGGCAAAGGAACAAAATCAATTTACGGAAATCAATTGCAGAGAACGTGACAAACGTAAACAAACTAACTGATGAGCAGAAACGATCGGCAGTAATCAGACAGTGCGATGCGGCTAAATAAACATAAAACGGACCAAGACAAGAAATCAAAGTCATTAAACATCGATGCAGTTCACTCGTAACTATTGTATTCAGTCATACACATAGAAAGACGTGAAAATTGTACCCGAGGACTGTTGGGCAAAATGTTCCTTTATTTTTAGGTAATGAAACAATCCCTCATGTCTATTCCATCGACTAAACTCCTGCAACTTTTCTTTTGCTGTTACATGATCGTTACTTTTTGTGATATTGCTTTGGCAGTGGTGCAAAAGCACAAATTGCAAGTGAAAAATCAGCACGTCAATAACACTTTCCTTGAAAGGAAAATAATGCTTTGTAGATGAGGGCTATTTGAGCGTTTGTACCGGTTGAATGTTGCACGTTGCTTGCACACAAATCCAAGTATAGCAGTACCGAAACCATGTTGAGCCCGGTTAGTACTCCAAACCAGTACTT